GGAATGGTTGGGATGGAAATGAAAGTACTCAAGAGCAGGAATCTCAATTTCTTCCTTTTCCCCGCTCTGGTCGGACTGTAGCTAATCACAATATCTCGGGACTATGATAACATTAACAGGAGAAAAACGCATATTTACTCGTAGCATGGGATTTGGCGTTGACTATCCAGATTTGATAACTTAATCCGGCTAATGAGGAAAACCTTATTTTCAGAGTGTTCTCTCTGTATTCGTCCAGTTTATTGAGTCCAGGCAGGTCATGAAAATTCACGGAGGTTCATATCACAGAAATTCAACTCACGAAGAAATCCGCGATGGTATGGATGTAATACTCGATTCCTCTTCTCTTCGGAAATCAGATTGCTTGCTTGGAGACACTTCTTTCAATGGTCGAGTTCGCCATTTCAATAGCTCCGCAAACTTGGGATATCAGCGTGTCATTCGATCTTCGCAGACTTGAGATATCGGAAGAAGGCGCCGTTAACTGCAGGATCAATCGAACAGTTCCTAATTATTTTCAAACACAAGACAAATCATTAGGAAGAAGAAAAAAAACTTCCTGAGGGAGAGAGGGGGATTTAAATAAAATAAAAACCATCGGAGGGTCGATTCACATTATTCGGCGCTTCCCCCGTCTTTCCCCGTAAGAGAAGTACTATTTTCTTTTCCTGCAGGTATGCTTCATGAATCACACCTCGTGGGAACGCACTTCCCAGTTCTGGGAACTGCGTTCATAGGGACAAGTGGAAACTATTCGTTTTACCATCGTCTGTTAATTTCCAGAGTGGAATAAGCGAAAATGTGATCGTCGCAGGCGGCCTTGGTGGGTGTAGTGCCTACCAGATCCTTCATTTTCCACTTCAGACAGTTTCATAGATTTTAGGGTAATTTAAGGGCATTTCCAGCGCTTCCGTTTAAGCCCGGAAGAAGAGCTGTTCTCACTCACCAAAAGGAAAATATTTCCCACCCCGTTTTTTTTCTCTCCGTTACTATTCCTTATTCGACGCCAAGGATTCTGTCCCCCCCCCCCCCCCCCAGTCCCATATTGAAAAAAGCAACACGGGAGTAGCAGGATACAGGAACCGCGGGATGGGATCCGGAGCGACCGGAATAGCATAAACAAAAAAGAGTCATAGGTATTCCGGGGGGGGGGGAATCAGAACAAATGGTAGGAATGGGTGGGATGGAAATGAAAGCACTCAGGAGCTGGAATCTCAATTTCTTCCTCTTCCCTGCTCTGTTCGGACTATAGCTGATCACAATATCTCGGGACTATGATAACATTAACAGGAGAAAAACGCATATTTACTCGTAGCATGGGATTTGGCGTTGACTATCCAGAGTTGATAACTTAATCCGGCTAATGAGGAAAACCATATTTTCAGAGACTTCTCTCTGTATTCGTCCAGTTTATCGAGTCCAGGCAGGTCATGAAAATTCACGGAGTGAATTACTCGATTCTGGACCCAAATTGAAATGATGCGATTAAAAAAAAAAGTTGGAGGGAGGGATGTCGTGGGTCTGTCATCCCTACATAGTTGCTAAACAGAATCGAAGAAGCCTACCTGATGCAGGACGAAACACAGCGTAGCGCAATCCTCCGCACACGTTCGCTCGCTCCTTTCCTGTTTTGTACTGAGAAGGCAAGAGGTTTGCTCACACGGAAGAATCGCGCAGGGGAGGAAGGAGAGACGCGTCTGTACATGCGCGCGAAGAAAGGCAGACTTACAAAGCCTTTTCATCTTTCATTCGTAAATTTTGATCGATTTTCTAAAATTATTCCATTGACTGATGGTCATTAATTATTTTCTTCTGAGACCCTACTTGCATATCTCCAATCAGTTGTGCCGGAATGGGTCGGCCAGAAGAATGAATATTTTCCTCGAAAAATAATGGGGTCGAGGATGCCAGGAGAGATCATGACTGTTCTTAGTCTATCCATGCTCCCATGGTTAAAGTGGGTCGGGGAGGGAGGGAATACGCATATTGGCACGCTTTCATATTCCTCTTTCGCTCCATCCCTTGAAAAGAATTGATCCTTCATCGTACGCCTCCGTTTCGTGTCGGTGCAACGCGCTGGAATCGGACTGACGCGCTTCCAATTTTGCAGGCTCGCTCCGTTCGATGGGGCCGCGTAATACAAGTGAGACCCGATCGGAGCCGGATCGCTCCTATTATAATTCCATGCAGTTGGTGGTTTTTAATGCGAGTTTCGATGGATGTGACACGGATCCGAAACACATTATTCGAATAGTCAGTCACTTAATCCAAATTCCCTTCTACATGAACAATCGAACGTCTGTTAGCCATCAGGGTTTACCACTTTGATGCAGAATTTACATGTCAAATCCGAGGACTACAGTCCTGGGGATCCCAGGATTTTTAGTTAAAAAAATAAATTTAATTGGATTTAAAAATTAAATACAATACCTGAAACTACATCTGGATCGTGTCGCCAGAATTCATAACTGATCCCATTTCGTCGTCCGGTGTTTCAACTCTTTCTATTCAGTCGTGTTTTTCTTTCCCAATGAATCATTCGTAGTCCAGCACCCTGTACTCGAGGGCAGCGATTCCCAGTCTTCATCTAATCATTCCTCATGGAGCGGAGGCCCCAATTATGTATATCATAACCGAGTAGAAGGTTGTCGGCAAGTGGAATTGGGATGGGACATGGGAAAGTGGAATTTTAAAAGGAATAATAGAACAAAATAGAAAAATGTCCAATGACAAAAAGGAAGGAAGTTATATAAAAGGTGAATAAATTCATGAAATAATTCATTTTTCTTTGTTCACCATGCTTTCCTGAAATTGTCCCTCACAGAATTAAGTTAAAATGACCGTGTTGGTTATTTCCATGAAGGTAACGTGTTATAGTTTCAGCCAAGCGTTTCATTAACATCTGCGGAGGAAGTCCTTCCCATGACACACCACGCAGCCTCCCTTCTCTCGTGAAGCAACTCTGAGAAGATTCCTTGAAGTCACGGGAGAAACGAAGTCGAGAAAACTTAAAACCGTGAAACGACGAAGTTCGTCCCGACTCCAACTCTCGTCGGCGGGCATCATTTCCCCTAGCTCGCCCTGACGTGACGGCGATGCACGCGTACTGCTCCATACCGGCGTGAAATGTGTTCAGACAGTATATCGCACCATCTTTCCATCGTAGTCATGTTTTCCAGCTTGTCAAGCTGGAAGTAACGCCTTTTCCTAGAATACCGTCTTCGCTTTTCTCCTTCCAGGAAAGGCAGGAAAATTTCCAGGTAATGGAAATTATAGTCACTTAGCACATGACGTTAAACGCACAGAATGACGTTACACAAAAACTTCTTGAACTGATGCTATTTTCTAATATAGATTTGGGGTTAGAAGTAAAAAAAAAAAAGAGAATTATTTACTCTGTGATTTTAATGAACCTCGCAGTTTTTTTATATCTCATCAGAAGCACCTATATCACAGCTCATTCCATGGTAAACTGGTTTTCGAATACATATCTGTTACGGCTTCATCGCCGTCGACATTTTCTCAGTTTTAATGCAATTTGATCCCTAGCCGATATCCTTATTATATACGGAAGGGATATAATAAGGATATCCAGATATCAGGATATCAGGATAATAAGGATATCCCCTCGTCGTCCGATATCGCTAGGCAGATCGACTCTACATGTTTCGAGAACGGAGATTAACCGGAGTAGGTCAATGAAAGCGAAATTGATTTCGGCAGGGAAGTCCATCCCTATTATATAACTAGCGAGTTCGTTTGCCTTCGGGCAAACAAACTCGCTATAGTCGCGCCTTCGGCGCTCCATTACCTTGGTTCAAAAAAATATTGAGGAAAATGGGACTGGAAAAAGTGCCCTGATGGGTCTGAACGAACATTTTTTTATTTTGTAATGTAGACTCAAGTAACTCCATGCCGAGCATTTGAAGGGAAAACGAGTAACGGGACATAGAAGGCAAGAGAAGCCAAAAAAGGCATGGCGTGGCCGGGAATTCAACCTTGGTCTCCCTATTAACGGTCAGATGTGCTACGGCATACAGGACTACAGTCCTGGAGATCCCAGGATTTTTATTTAAAAAAATAAATTGTGCTTCTCGTTTGGTAGTCGCCCTCGTATTATGTAGGTACTGTACCTACTTAATACGAGGGGGGCTCCAAAAGTTGTCCTGGAGGACGTTTTCGAAAAGCTCTGAATCTGATTCAATCCCTGAAAGGAATAAACGTAAGCTTTCAATTTGGATCAGACGACATTCAATGCCATTTAGCAAGAACTCCTGGAGTGCCTCTCGTAATGATAGCACGTTGGAAGGACTCTTCATTCCTTTCTCGCTAGTTTATTCAAATGTGTTCGCTGCTTCAAGTGCGCAATTCCTTGAAGATACGTGTACATTTCCCTGGGTGACGCACGAGAACACGGAAAGAACAGGAGAAATTCCTGGAAACCTCTCCCTCCGGCTGAAAAGCTACTGAATCAGAGTGCGCATTATCAAGGCTCCATGGGGAGCAGAGTCCCCTTTAAAAAGGCGGCCCACCTCGCAGTTTCTCAGTGGCTTCCCAAGAACCTCCAGGCTTGCTATTCGGAAACTGCACCCGTGAGTGATTATTCTCCGTGAGTCTTTCTTCCATGTCTTTATCATAGGAATATCATCCTTCATTTACACGTGTGGATTCAAATTGTCCCTATTATCGATGTTCCGGGGGTCCAATACTATTTAATGCACGTTTTGGAACCACCAGGACGAGAAAAACCTCCCAGAAAAAATTCGTGCTTCAATTACTTCTATGTGTGAGCCTTTTTCCTTAAAGGTTTTCAAGAGGCAATCAAGTTCACCCGCCACGCGAACACAACAATGATTCGACCCTGCCCCCCAAAATAAATTATGTCGTCCTCTTCTTTCCTAGGCAAAGGATATGTTGTTGATCCGCATCGCGTTCCTCCTCGCCTTGCTGCAGCTTGCGATCCAGGAACCTCAATTTTGGATGTCCTGGTTTCAAAGCAAGGAAAAAAAGAAAAATTCGAATACGACGACCACCACGCCGGCGCCGACCACCACGCCGGTGCCGACCACCACGCCGGTGCCGACCACCACGTGTTCAACACCAGCTAGCGGTCCCTGCACGCAGACATGGACTCCAGGCGCCACCCCTCCTAGTAAGGCCGATATGATTATAAAGCATCGCTTACGTTCCCCACGTTTTCATGTTATACAGGTATAAGCTAACTGTATCTGATGAGGAATACAAGTTGCTGCTATGTTTTATAAATTACGATAAAAAGTCACAGGAATCAAGTCATTTTATTAGCAAGGTCAGATGTGACTCGCACGGGACAGCTGTGCAAAATATATACTTGTATATGAAGCACTTCAAATGTTTTGCTACTTGAAATCCTATAGTCATATTTGAAGAAAAATGAGGACACGAAAGTCGATCAGATCTTTTGGAAAATTACAAGTGTTTCTCATATATATACCTTGTCTTGCCCTCATTTCTTTGATCTGCATGACCTGCAGAAAGTCAGGCACTAAATATTGGTTTTGTTACAGCAACAGCGCCTGCAGGCTACACCCTCGACTGCGCCACCGGATATTACTACAAATACGTTGGATCTTTTACTTATGATGCGGCAGTCGCGGCGTGCGACAACGACGGTGCCCGTGTGGCGATGATCACCGAAGCCGCCGTTGCAGACGCCATGAAGCTTGCAAATTCTAATGAGCACGATTGGCTCGGCTGCACTGATCCTGACCTCGACGGGAACTGGACCTGCGATGACAACTCTTGTGAGTCTTATTCTTGTATATCCTATAGTGCTCAGTGTTCTCGCATGAATCACAGAAATATTCCAGCTCTTCCATGAACACTCAATTCCATGCATTTAGAACCCGCTAGATATTTTCACATTCAGAGTGGAAATGGCCATATTTTGACACGGTTAAATTTTTTTTTCTACGATTAGGTCGGAATGAATAAGTGTAAAAGAAATTGACAAGTGCGACCCTGCATCATGGTATATTGGTTCACAAGTGTCTTTGGGAAACCGGAATATGTTTATATTCACCAAACGTAAGGAGGATTCGGAAGTTCCTTATTTGTTCCATTAGAAACTGATTTTCGAGTATTCAAAGTCGCGATCCCGAATGCAATGAAGTTACAGAGCCATGGAGAAAATTCCTTGAGTGAAAATCTCGTGAAAACCTTTCGAGTTTCCGCATTTGTTTCAACATTTTGCTCTCCCCACCTATGAATCCTTCCTACAACGAGTACCGACCGTTCAATATGCATGCCGTCTTCCAATCGTTCTCTTCCGTCAAGGTTTCTCCATGACGACCTCCGGCACCACCACCTGGTACGAACCCCCGACATCGGAGTCGTGCCTGGAGGTTCACTTGCACTCGGGTTCATGGGGTCCATATGGCTTTGAAACCGTGCCATGCACTGATACGCTTGGCACAGTGTGCCAACTCTATGTGCCGTGAGGGACTCTGTTCACTGCGGTTCATTTTGAGAGAAAATAAAACTGGTTACCGAACATCTTTCGTCGACCGGGCTTTTTTGCCCGAATTTCTTTTTTTCTCATTGATATCGCAGCAATGCTCCATCTCTTTCTCTTTTGCGATCCTGACATTTCTCCCTGCGATTTTTCAAATATTAAATATGCGAGTGAAAGAGAGGCCATGAGAACGTGGCATATGCGTTGCATATTCTGCTGAGCAGGGTAGTTCCAAAAACGCAGGAAGTCTTGCTTCGAGAATTACCTGAAAGTAGATCCGCGATCGATTCGCTATTCCCTATCGCCTCCCGTTTCGTTCTATTCCTTCTCGGCGCAATATCTCCATTACTGTGGAGAGCGTTGAATCTAAAAATCTTCAAAGCGGACGTAAAAAATGAATATGCAGACGACGCCGCTACTTTCGTCTCCAAGAAGAACGAACGATGATCTTCGAGAGTGCTCCGAGGAAGCCCGGCGCATCGTCGATACCTCGGCGCGACAAGATCTCGATCCGGAGCTCCCGTCGGCGGCAATCATTCCACTTCGCTCGTCCTGGCATGGCGACGACGTGCATGCACGGGGGTGCACCCCGCCGACGTAATTCGTGTTCAGGCGGCATGTTGCACCGTTCCCTCTCCCCCCCCCCCGTCCCCGTCCCCGGTCCGAGCGATATTAGCCAGGTGGTGGGAAAACAAGAATGTATTCAGGCATGCAACACGTGACATGTGATGACGTTACATCAGCATACGATTGATATTGATTCGATGTCTTTCTTCTCATAAATGTTGGCTTAAATGAAAAAAGAGGGAATGGATCCCACATACGATGTCACTTTCAAGGAGTTCGCGATATTTATTCCAAGCATATTTGGAAATTCGTCAAGAACCAACTGATACCTGACCTCCAATTGATGCCTTCCGAATAGCGGCGGATCTTAATGCTTCTGTGCTCCTCCTGCTACGATTCAACATGTAAGACAGGTGCACCTGCACAGCAAATTAGCAACGTGTGATCTCTTATCCTCAAGAGCGCACAGCGAAGTAGAAACGTACAAGGAGAGGTACAAATGTGAGAGGTGCAGATTTTGTCAGTCTCGTTGTCTTTTGTACCTCCGTCTATACCCAGGTAACACAGAAAATTGAATCAACATGGATTGGATGTGGATTGAGTGTGCGAATGTTGAAGGCTGAAGGTGAACATTGTCTCAATGTTGATACAATGTCGTCGCATCACATTGTGGATTCCAATTGGGGAATATTCGGATTATATTTATTAGATGCGGCATAATTGTTCACCCCTCTTAAAATGATAGAGTTGGACCTCTCCAAAGGTTTTCGGAGTACTATCAACCTACCACAACATGGTTTCAATGTGGAAAAAATGAGCCTTCACAACTATTGAATTGCATGCCATTTATTATAAAGTATTTGAATAATGATTTTTTTTTATTCGGAAATAAATACATAAACCATTTCCAATTATCCTACGGTCATCGCGGAGACGTCTTGCATCCTCTTATGGACGTTATGTTACTAGGGTAGTGTAGTCTAGGCGCGTTCATAGTGAAGTACCAAGAGAGCTCACTAGATGGTATCCATGTTCCCCTGTAGTCTCCTAATGCAATTATTGATGTCACCTTCCATTAAAGCGTTTTCTTCCCACTTTCCTCTTATTATTACGCAATTAATGAACACATATATCTGAGAAATGTGGAATTATGATGTTCTGATTGCAGCATCTGATTCTGAAACTAATTAAATTTCCAGGTTTAGTGTGAGCGCATAGAAGTCTAGGCGATTGGAGACGTGTAGAGCGCACACAAGAATAACCTGAAGTGATCCATTCACAAATCTTCTAATAGAGGAGCTGAGAGAATTTATCCTTGTTTTGCAAACCAGTTAGGCAGTTTGGTGCTGTTTGCAGAACTGAAGAGGACCCATCCTCTCAAACTTCTCAGTACTCTGTGGGTACTGACCTATAGATACTGAAGAGGGTTTATCCTCTTTTGTATATGTAGTTCATCATCCACAGGTCATGCGATTCATTTTGATGAATTTGCCTCTACTTTATCCATGGAGAAACCCAATCACGAGAGACTCATTGAGGAATGTTGAATAAATGGGACTACCTTGGCGCCATCTAGCGTCGATGGTGCGAACCTTCGCTTCTAGCCGTTGTCAGATAGATACCATTAATGTGCGTTAGAAATGCATCTTAAACGTGCCACAAATGTCCTTCAAATGCAGCATGTATCGCGATCGGAAGGTACCTCATCTGAGCTCCCAAAAGGTGCTTGCTATTGTACATTGGACGTGCAAAGACCTCTTTGAAGACACGTTGAACGTTCTATAATGCGTTTATGTGCTACTTGGGCGATGTTATATGTATAAAGCCTACAGGTTTCATTGGACCTGTGACTTTCCTCGGCACCCAATCATGTGAATGGAGCGAGGGGAAGTGAATGCGAATGGAGGCGAAGGTACATAAAGGAAGATGCAACACATCACAGCGACGATCCTCCTATAACTGTATTCTTGTTTTTCTTTTCGAAAGATCCCGGCTCCCAAACAGTACACCTGTATTTTTTTGCCATCTTCCAACGCGACTGCGATACGGGAAAACAATCCAACCCTTTGAAAAACTCTCACTCTCTCCGACCTCCGTGCGTTATTCGTGCAATTCCACAAATCTGCATTTGGAGCCAAGGAAACAAACGAGGAAATTAGGGTGATGGGTTCCAAGGCGAAAGCCCGTGTGAACGCATGTGGCGACGAGCTGCGGAATCGCCCCGTATTTCCTCATGGAGCCTTGAAATCCTCGGTTGCACGGCAACAGGCGGGAGGCACAGCAGTGAGCGATGCCAGCGTTCCCTTTTGAGAACTATGGCAACTCTCGTTTCCAAGTTAATCCGAAAGATGACGAGACGACAGCTAATCGCCGATTTCAAATGAAACTTGCCTCCCCTCCCTTTCTTATGGCCGATTTGCAAAAAAAATTTCATTTCGAAAAGGCACATCCTCGGAATGTAAGGAAGAGTACTGTCGAAACCCTAAGTTCATATCTCTGACCGTTTGGCCTGTAGAACTGTCACACCCACACACACAACCCAACAAAAAAGAAGCAATTGTCGCTCGGCCTAGCTAGAATCGCGCAAACTACATGTTCTACTACATGTACTAAGGACTTCGGTTGCTTCCCAACCGAGGCCCTCCTGTTAGAAATATTTGGAAGCGGTATGATGAGAGGCCAATATACTTTCTTCGACCGTTTTCTTCAGCCACGTCCTGTTAGGGTGGAGTCATTTGGAAAAATCGCGAGACGTCAGGTGACTACTTTTCCCACTTTGGTCGATGAGGAACGATCATCTTCGCTTGAATCTGTGAGATCCAGGAAGATCACGGATTCAAGACGATTCAGTTGTGTCGAGATGTTCGTAGGTGGAAAGGCCGCTCGAGCCAATAGGATTTTTCATCGTTTCCCTCCATCTCGAATAACGAGTGCCAGATCTTTCCGCAGTTTGCAAGGAAACGAACCTTGCCAGATGAAACAAACAAGGCGTGAACAAAGAAACAAAGTTCCCTTGTTCATTGTGAACAGAGGAATGTCGCAGTATGGATTGTTTTCGATCGCGAAGCAAAACGTGCCAGTGTCATATGTCATCGAAAAAAATGAAAACAAGAAGAACGCAGAAAATAACAAATGCGATGACAAATTACAAAAGTAGTAATGCGAAAACCATTTTTCAAAGGCTTTCCTTTACTTCAACCTCCCCCACCTTCACTCGGCTAACTGTGGTGCAATCGAACACTTACGTTGCGAGATCGGTAGGGCAACTGGGAAGATGGTGCAAGTTATTTCCTATCGGCCCCCAAACTCTTTCCGAGAGGACGAAGCAGCATATTTTGCACTGATGCATAGCATCAGCGAGATCTCGAAGCAGGTATTGCTCTTTTCAGACTTTAACATGACAAACATTGATTGGTCAGTGCCGCGAGGGGGGTGCGAAAGGCATAGGGAATTTCTCGTTGCGGTTCAGGGATGCTCTTCTCGTTCGGCACGTAGAAGAACCGACTCGGGAGGAAGCTTTATTGGATTTAGTTTTTGCGACGAACGACGATCTGGCCCAAGACGTTAAGGTACAGGATAACTTGGGAGATTCGAACCGCTGCACGATCACGTGGAATATCAAATAGACGAGAAGAGTGGCGCCAAACTGGAGTAGGTTTCGTACAACTATAAGAAGGCTAATTTTGAGAGATTGCGTGAATGCGTTTCGGGAATCGACTGGGAGGTGCGGTTCCGTGGGCTGACGGTAGAGAAGCAATGGGGGGGGTTGTTCGAGACGTTATTGCAAGGCTTTATGGGGGAATGCATCTCCAAGAAGTCCATGAAATCGGCCAGACAACCGGTCTGGTTTACGGGTAAAATCAAAGCACTCATCAGGGATAAGAAGCAGAAATAGGATAAGTTGGGGCAAAAGTCAGTTTACCGTAAGCATGTGTTTTTAATTTCTGGTTTTGTTTATTCCAGATTGAAATTTGAAATTTGAAATTAAACTTGGTAATTGGAAATTGGAAATGGAGCAACGTGTGTTTCTTCTGCAGGAATGGTGGAAAACAAACATGGGTCTATTTATTACCTTTAATAATATATTATAATACACTCATGCCCTTTCGGTAAACTGACTTTTGCCCCACCCTGTATGAGCGCACGGGAGATAGAACTGACTGAGGAACATAGGACCCTCATGAGGTCGTTGAAGCGGGAAATGAGGTCTGCGAGACGGGAGCGAGAGGAACGGCTAGCTAGCGATGCTAAGGAGAACCCGAAGATTTTTATTTATTTATCGATATGCCTTTGGTTGGTGCTAGCAATCGATCGGGCCTCTAATGAACAGCAGGGGGGACTCGATTGCAAGTAATAAAGATATGGCCGGGATACTTAACGAATTCTTCGCTTCCATTTTCACTGTGGCATCCGACTCGGCCCCGACTTTGGAGGAAGTGACCTCGGCGCGCATCAAGGATATTTCCGAGGAGA